ACTGGGAGCTGTAATCCTGAGCTGTTCCTAAACGGCCATCTTGGATCCACCCCCGGGGGTCCTGTTTTATTATCTTGCTCTCAGGTTGACAGCCCATCGTTCCTACAAAGTTCGTCCTCCATGCTAGTGTGGCTGGCTTGGACTTTTTTTACCTGTGCCTCACCCACCCTCTCCCCAGCACCGCCAGACGCTCATGTCATGAACTGATTAGCAATTCATTGTCTGCTTCTCTCAGGGAAACTCTCCCTTGGAGATAGTTGATGTGCTTTCCCGCTTGAACCACTTCTCAGCAGAGAAGTTCCAGGCCTGAGGCCAGTCACTATTTAAGACACAGGGTACCTTAGTCTCTTTTGTGCTGGTCTCATAGATTGGGTAATTTTTAATGAATATAAATTTATTTCTTATAATTCTGGAGGCTGGGAAGTCCAAGATTGAGGAACCAGAACCTAGTGAAGGCCTTCTTCCTGCATCATTCCACAGCAGAAGGCAAAGGGTAAGAGAGTGAACTCAAGCCCTCTTATAATCAGCATTAATCCATTCATGAGGGTGGAGTTCTGCAGATCTATATGTCTTCCTTTAGGTTCCACCTCCCAACACTTATGTTGGGGATTATGTTTCCGACACATGCGTTTGGGAGGACGTATTCAAATCATAGTACAGGAGATGCAGACAAAACAAAGAACAAGCTTTCCTGCTCACAGAATGCTTCCTTTCTCTGGGGAGCAAGAGTAGGTAATAAATACGTAAGTGAGATAATACAGTCATTCCTCAGTATCTGTGGGGGATTGGGCCCAGAACCCCTGTGAATACCAAAATCTGCATACTCTCAAGTCCTGACACTGGCCCTGTGGATCCCATGTATATGGAAAGTCAGCCATCTGTTTCTGAGAGTTTCGCGTTCCTTGAATACTGTGGATGGTTGCAGATGCAGAATCTGTGTATATGGAGAACTGACTGTATTTACTGATAAAAATTGGTGTACAGGTGGGCATAGTGCAGACCTGTTATTCAAGGTCAATTGTACTGGATAATCATAAGTGCTACAAGACAAAAGGCCAGTTGACGTGATGGGGAGTGGCTGCCTGGGCTCCCTTCAGCTGGGAACCAGGGAAAGCCTGACTTGAGGCATCAGTGAAGCCCGCCAGGTAAAGATGCAGGGCACAGCACACTAGGCATAGCCAAGACTGGCAACAAGGCCAGTGAGACTGGAGCTGAGTGACAGTAATGGGCAGGGGAGGGGGAGAGCAGTGGGAGATTCCCTCCAAGGTGGGGGCAGGGCCACAACATGAATGGGTCATGCCCAGGACCCCCAGGACAATGACCTCTAAGGACTCTTCCAGCTTCAGCCTTCTCTAGACCTACCTCAAGTTTTAAGAAGCCCCTTATGCCAAATATGACTCCTTAATTTGACCATCTAGATTTTTGTAACTTGCAATTGGGAGTTTTCTTATTTTCATTCCAATTTTTAATCATTATGACCAGAAAAAAAAGTGGTTTTTTTTTTTAAAGTTTATTTTTTTTTTAAGTTTTTTTCTAACTTTCTGGCAGCGCCTTTTCATACCATCTGTTTCATCTCAATACAATCTTATATACGCAGCCGAAATTCACTAAAAGACTATTCTCTAGTAAAGATGAACATAATTTACTGGTAAATATCTAAATTGACATTTAGCATACAAATGAAACCAAAGGTCAGGAAATGAAAACTGCTTCTTAGTCTTTACAGAAGCTGCACCTGCCCCAGATCAGTGATGAGTACCAAAGAGAAAGGCTGATTTCCCTATTGATGCTTCTGTTGTTTCCAATGACCCCTTCTGCTGTGATCCCCCAGGCAGCAAATGAAGCCATTGTGAAGTCTTTTCTTGTCCTCTAAATGGGCAATTACACATTTTTTAAGACAATAAATTTTGTTCCTAGTGCAGCTGATTACATTGATTTGTGAAAATGACTAAAAGCAGTGAATCAATTTTTTTTTCTTTCTGGTGATGTTAAGATAATCACCAAAGACATAATAGAAAGTAGAATGGACCTGGAATTAGGAAACCTGGAGCTGAGTCCCATTCTCCTACCAGTAAGCTGTGTGATTTTGAGTAAATGATGCCATCTCTCTAAATCTCTACTTACTTATCTGAATAAAATGGAGAGTAATACTGCCCAGTGTACTCCAACTCAGAGAGCTGTTGTGGATGAGGGGACATTGGAAGGCTTCCAAGGCATTGATAAGCTTCCATTTCATTTCATATATATGTGTTTGTCATATTATCCATCATTAAATTATCTGTACACATTTTATTTCTTTTCCTTTTTTTTTTTTTTTTTTTTTTTGGAGACAGGGTCTTGTTCTGTTGCCCAGGCTGGAGTGCAGTGGTGGGATCACTGCTCACTGCAGCCTCAGCCTCCAGGGTTCAAACAATCCTCCCACCTCAGCCTCCCAAGTAACTGGGATTATAGGTTGCATGCCACTACATCCAGCTAATTTTTAATTTTTTTTGTAGAGAAAGGGTCTTACTATGTTGCCCAGGCTGGTTGAACTCAAATCAATCTTCCCACTTGGCCTACCAAGCATTGGGATTACAGGCATGATCCACCACACCAGGCCCACATTTTCTTTATGTGTGATATGTATGATATATTTCACGATAAGTTTCTAAAGCAGTCAATAAATTGTGGTTGACATACTTGACACAAAGTAAATACAGTATGAGTTTTCTTCTGGATCTCCTAACAAACAGAATAAATCTAGATTTAAGACAAAATCATTTTCCCTTCACATCAAAACTTGGTATTTTGAAAAACAGTTTAATGGAAAGAGTAATCAGTGAAATTTTGAAAAAGACAAAGGTGTATCATGTTTAGTACAGGCCCCTTCCACCCTGGCCCTCCATTTTCCCCTCACTTGAGGTTTCCTAGATCTATCTCCAGAAATATTCTGGAAAGACAGAGAGTATCTTAAAAGCAGCAAGAGAGAAGCATATAGAAGCATTTCTGTGTGCACCACTGTTTTACATAAACAAAAGTATGTTATATGTGCTGTTCTGCATTTGCATTTTTTCATTTATTCTAGAGATCTTTCAGTATCAGCCTAAGAATTTAGCCCGATCAGATTCGTTTTCTCTGAAGCTCATTGGAGCAGTGTGGAAAATGGGAAGAGATAAACAGTGGATGTGGGGAAGCCGGATGTTTTCCACTGGTTTTCAAAACATCAGACTAATGGCATGCTGCAGTGACCATCCACCACAGGTGGTCATCCAGGGGAGAGTGTCCACATGACATGAGAATCACTGCCACCCAGGGGCAGTTTCCACATCCCAGGTACTGAGCAAGTACAATCCTCAAGGCCAGGTGCTTGTATTATTCAGAGGAAAAGACCAGAGTTCCAAGAGGCTAAGTACCTTGTCTGTGCTCATCCCACCACTAGGCTTACCACCCCTTCTATTCAGGCCCACAAACTGAGCCCTTCCGATGCTGTGGGGGCTGACTCATTACAGTCATGGTAATTGGATTTGGCAATTCCCTCATCATGCTCTGCCAAAATTCCACAGAAATTCAAGGAATTTCTGTTAATAATGTTGATAGATAAGCTGCTGATAACAAATATTCTTACATCTTTTAAGGGTTTCTTTTAAGCTTTATGTTAACTACAGTCATATGTTATGTAATGACAGGGATACATTCTAAGAAATGTGTCATTAGGCAATTTTGTTGTGTAAACATTATGGCGTGGACCTGCACGAAACTAGATGCTTAGCCCACAACGCACCTCGGCTCTCTGAGGGCGCCTATTGCTCTTGACTACAAACCTATACAACGTGTTAGAGTTCCGAATGCTGCAGGCAACTGTAACACAATGGTAAATATTTGTGTATCTAAGCATAGAAAACGTACAGTAAAACAATAGTATGAAAGATTCAAAATGGCTCACCTGTATAGAACACTCACCAGGAATGGAGCTTGCAGGACTGGGGTTGCTCTGGGAGAGTCAGTGAGTGAGTGAGTGGCAGTGAATGTGAAGGCCCAGGACATGACTGTACCCCATGCTATTCTCTATAAACACTATACACTTAGGCAACTTTATTTTAAAATATTTTTCTTTATAAATTAACCTTGGCTTACTGTGACTTGTTCACTTTATAAAATTTAAATTTCTTTTCACTTTTTGACTCATAATAACACTTAAAACACAAACACATTGTATGGATCTACAAAAATACTTTATATCCTTATGGTGTCAGCTTTTTTCTATTTCTAAAGTTTGGTGCTTTTTGTTTGTTGTTACTTTTTAAGCTTTTTTTGTTAAAAATGAAGACACAAACTCACACATTAGCATAGGCCTACACAGGGTCAGGCTCGTCTGTATCACTGTATCCCACCTCCACATCCCGTCCCACTGGAGGGTCTCCAGGGAAAGTAACATGCACGGAGCTGTCATCTCCTATGGTAACAGTGCCTTCTTCTGGCATACCTCCTGAAGACCTACCTGAGGCTGTTTTACGGTTAACTTTTTTCTTCTAAGTAGGAGTACACTCTAAAATAACAATGCAAAATATGGTGAAGTCAAGATGTCAGCTGGAAACTTTTTAAAAAAAGACTTTTTAAAGTATAATATAGTAAGTGCATAAAGCAGTAGTAGTCATTTGTTTTCAAGTATGACGTGCCATACGTAATTATACGTGCTATGCTTTCTACACACTGCAGTGTGGGAGGTTTGTTTATACCAGCATGACCACAAACACAAAGTCATGCATTGCACCAAGACATTCTCTCGTGACTGCACAAGTGAGGTTTTCAGCTCCACTGTAATCTTATGAAATCACCGTTGTGCATGATCTATGGTTGACTGCATTGTCATGATGTGGGACATCACTGCAATTTCCTTGAACTGCGTGTTCTCCTGAAGGTACTTGGTGACTACCTATGATTGCTTTCTGCTCATGTGAATAAAGGGTGAGCCCAGGGCCCACTGCCTACTGTCTTCTCTGATGACCCTCTCTCCCCTGCAGATCCGAGTGATGGTGGACCTGTGCAACAGCACCAAGGGCATCTGCCTCACAGGTAGGCCAGCTGCTCAGCAGAGCCGTCCATACAACGCGCACATGTGCTGCCGGAGGCCCAAGGCAGAATGAACACCTAGGAAGACATGATGTTATAAAAATACATGTTGGTTTACTTTCACCAGATGTTTTTAATGAGCTGAAAGCCCATTGTAATATGATTATGAAAAATAGTATTTTCAGTATTGCCATAGAAATAGAGCCATGGAAAATAACTAGGACTTGGGTAATTAGAAACATGTGGTATCTTGAACCAGAGCCAGAGATGTTTTTCTTATTCCCATGAGTTTTTAACAGAGTGGGGGTGGGGGAGGAAGGGAAAAGTCCTTGCTAATTAATAGAGTTCTGTTATCAGAAGTACAGGTGTGGTGGCCCAGTTGTATGTTATGGAGTGCTAGAACCATCCCCTCTGACTTTAAAACATTACCATGAGACCTTGAAGCCACGTGAAGCTTTTGCAGGACCTCTCAGTTGATGGTCCCAGTCCCTGGGGAGGCCAGGCTAGGGTTGAGAAACCCTGCACAGTTTGTATCAGGTTGTAGGAAGCCTAGCCCTTTTTAGCAATATTTCCCTCACCTCCTTCTCATTACCTGCCTTGCATTAGGAGTGCAATGTGAGTTTGCTGTGGTTATGTGAGTGTGTGAACGGAGGTGAGATGGTAAGAAAGAAGCTCCCCTCAGGAACCCCAAATCCAAGTCTGACTCACGTTCACTTAGTTTGGCCTCCGAGAGAAAAACTCTAATCCTGTGGCTTCTTGGGAAATGCTAATTGAATAACTCAAGTCGTATTTCAGCCCTCACTGGAAATTAAAGATCTTCAGAACAGCTTGGTCCTTTATTCTGAAACTCTTATAGCTTAAGCATCTTTCTTCCATCTCTGGAAGTCCCTTTTCAGAGTTATATGTGACAGTAATGAGTGCTAGAGAAATGGAAGAACAGAATTACAGGCACAAAAGCCTGTTGAGAGGCACAGGAAAAGCATCTTCCTTTTTCATTTTATTTTTTGTAGTGACAGACCTGAGAGCCAGGCTGTACAGTGAATGCACAGGACGGAGCTATTGAGATCACTTAGGAGAGATCGGCAGGGAGGTGGGGGATGACATCCGTGTTAGAAGTGGGTTGAGTAGGTTTTCCTTTAGCACTTCCAAATGCTTTTCAAAAGACAGCACCTTCTCCTTTCATGCCAGATTGAAATTGGGCCCTCTTTCAAACAGAAAGTTCTTCACTTAAAATTAGATGTGAAAAATACAAGTTGCAAAGCAAGAGGATGCTTTGGGATGAGGCCTGGACTGGGGACAGGGTAGTTGGCAGGAGGGTGCATGACAGGACCCAGGAATGAACTGAGTAGCTCCAGTGGCTGGACAGAGAGCATTGGTTCTGAGCCCTAAGAGGATGCCTGGCAGGGAGATGTGCCAGAGCAGAGCCTGGGCTTGGGGACCAGGAACGAGATTTAGCTTTCCACTGCATTCATCTTCGAAAAGCAGGCTCTCATAACCTGAGGCTGGTCCCGCTGTGACCAGGCAACCCTACTCCCATTCCTCTTCCTCATCCAGCTATCACTGCTACGGCAGTCAGGACAGATGCTATGCCATTCTGTGCAAACTTTAACATCTCAGTTGGATTGTGAGCCTAATCCCCTAGCTCAAGTAGTTAGTTATTTTTGCTAGTACAGAGTTTGTCAAATACCGTATGTTTTTCTGAATACATCTTACTCGGGAGCCCACATTTCCTTGGGAACCCAGAAGCATATCTTCTGGGAGAGCAGGTGTCTTGAAGAAGCCATGTTCTTGAATGATTCTTCACTCACTGCATCCTCTTCATGTGGATTTGCTGGGAATCATCAAGTTACTGAACTGCTTATGGGGGCAGAAGCACTACACATTTTCCTTGCCGGCAAGTGAGCCTAACCCAGTTATGATACTTGTCACTACTCTCTCATTCTGTACCTAGGCAAATATCAATCACGGGTTAGTGACGCTGAGCACAGCCTCGTAGCATTCTTTTCTGCTGTTCCAGAAAGCCAGCACAAATTGACTGGAATTGGCACTTCTCTCTGCAGACTGACTTGTTTTTAGTGTTCATGGCCATCACAGACCTCAAGTTTACATAACTAGGGGCATGTGGCCAATTTTAGATTTCAAGGAAAAAAAAATATCTGCATGGCTCAGCTCTTACCAAGCATCCACCCAGTTTTAATCAATTCTGGTTAGGAGTGTGGGATGGATACAGTTACTGTGAGCTACATAATTTGCAGGGCCCAGTGAAAAATGAAAATGCAGGGTTTCTTGTCCAAAAGAAGCAGAAAAAAAAGGGCTTCTTTCTTTCTTCCAGTCTTGACCTGTTTTGGTGTGAGTTTTTATCTGCTGCCTAATATCATACTCCCCAAAGCATGAAATACTTATTGGGAAAGCACAGACCCTCACAGGAACCAGGGGTCCTGCCCTGTGACGTAGGCAGGCACAGCACCACTTAGCCCCACCTTTCCTGCACTTGTGCCTGGGTCCCTACTGGGGTGGAAGGTGGCGGAAGTTACTGACAGGGCAAGGAGTACAGAGGACACATCACGGGGCAAGGGAGCAGATGACAGGCAACCTGTCCTAGGAAGGTGGTGGGAGTGGGACTCCACCAAGCCCTCTGTGCCTACTTTATTGACCCATTGGACTTCATTTACAAAACACAAATTCAAAGCCCAGATCATTGGGAATTTCTAAGTGGTGACCGCAGAGCATTAAGCCCACACCTGAAGCCCCCTTGTGAGGTGAAACCCTATGAACCTGCATGGGTGGCAGGCCCAGGGCACCAGCCCTGCATGCACTGCTAGCAGGAACATGGATGTCTGCACATATTCCTTGAGGATGTGGCATTCAAGAAAAAGAAGGGTCAAGAGTTGAAAAAGTTTTCTAAACACTCAGTTGGCACATATCATGACATTTGATGTTATTTGACCCATTTGGGGGCTCTTCCAGATGTTGGGGCCCCTGGAGAGCCGGGCTGGCATTCTGAGAGGACAAGAGGGCATCCCGCCATCACCATAGTTCCCTATGCCTCAACACGTTTTATGTTTGCCTGAACTGCTGAGCTGTCTGGGACTGTCTTCCTTTCTCTTCTGAAATTCTCTCCTCCTCCTCTAGCTTTGGGGCATTAGACCTCCTGGATTTCCTCCTCCACGTGTCTTCTGATGATTCTCTCTTTCCTGGTGCCTCTTCTCTCACTTGCCTCTCTCCAGGTGGGGTGTGGCCCTCCCCCTCTTCCATTACCAATTCTAGCCTAGACTTTTTACTCTTGCCTTAAGACTAGTAGCTCTGAACCTTTTTATGGTCAAGAACCCCTCTAAGGGTCTGCTGATGGTGACTGATTCTTTTCCCAGAAAATTTTCATAGCACATCAGAGGGCCCATGACCGTCTGCATCCCAGCCACCTATGACGCTTGGTAAAAATGCAGATTCTTGGGCTTCACTCTAAATCCAAACTGAATTAGGAACTCCAGATAGGACCTGGGTATCTGCATTTTAATAGGCATTGCAGACAATTCTCTGGATTCATATGAGAGGAACGCTATCCTTAGGGCATCAGTGGAGTTCTTGCAGAAAACCCTAATCTAAGCACTTCACCATAGTAAGACCCTTGGCCACGCCAATGTGTCCTGAATATACAGCTTCAGCCGGGAGCTCTCACCAACAGTCCCGATGCATGGACATGGTTATCAGACTGTCTTGGGAAATCTTGAAACCTACTGTGTACTGGCAAGTCGTCCATCTTACAGTCAAAGCATCCTTCTACCAATCTGAATATGGCTCCCTCTGTCGTCGGGAACGATGATTAATTGATTTCCTCTGACTCTCTTAACTGGCCACATCACCCCCTTCCCAGTACGTGTGTGCCATCTGGTGGTAAAGTCATGGAGACGCAAGTTGTACTGACCCTAGAGAATGTGATGCCACTTTTAGCCAACCATTTTTGCCCAGAGTAGGACTGTTATGTATTGAAAGCATACCCTCAAACACCTATTTCTCCCAGGAATATGTCAACATAGACGCTATCCATCTGTATCACAGGCCCCCTGTTACCTGAAACGCTTACTCCTTTGCCTCCTACCCAATCAGACATGGATTCCTGCTCGTTCTGCTGAAATACCTCTTGAATTTCTAGCTTTCTCTACAACACCACAGTCAGCACATTTATCCACAACCTTGTCACTGATTTTAACTACAAGGATTCCCTGGGGTTTTTTTTTCTGCAATAGTCATCCTCCATGTCTCTGTTCCTGCCTCTTTGTCACTGTCTCTCTCGTCTTGTTGCACCTAGCTCTATCCATCTTCCAGCTAGAAAGAGGCTGTCAAATCCACATTGCTTTCACAGCATCATCCCCTGCCTAAGAACCTTCCATGGCTCCCTCCTGCCTCACAGATACCATCTACACTTCTTGGCTTGGCAGTCAAGTGCTTCTGCCACCCACCATACCCAGGTCCTTCTTCAGCCTCATCTGTCCACACTCCAGCTGGGCTAGTCCTCTCACTTCCTCCCACCCTGAATCTTGTAAGTCCCCACCTCTGTACCTTTACTCTTGGTGGCCCATGCATAGAGTGCCAGATCTCATTAAGCCCCATTTCTTCAATGTCATGGCTCCAGGACCCTTCTCAGACCACTGAGTGCCCACACTTCCCCAGTACCCCTTGTCAGAGGTATGGGAGTGGACACTTCACTGTAGCTCTCTCATACTACATTATGGTTTCAAAGAGTTCACCTTCCCCACATAGACTGTGAACGTGACAGATACAGGGACAAAGATTTCTTGGTGGAGTTTGATGTACATAGTAAGTGCTTAGTTAATGCTTGTTTTGTGAATGGTCACAAGCTTAGATTTATGGAAAGACCTTGCCATGCCAATATTGGCAAATCATTATATGTAGTCTAAAGAAACAAAAAGGGCCAGGTGCAGTGGCTCACACCTGTAATCCCAGCAGTTTGGGAGGCCGAGGCAGGCAGATCATAAGGTCAAGAGATCGAGACCATCCTGACCAACATGGTGAAACCCTGTCTCTATTAAAAATGCAAACAGCTGGGCATGGTGGCATGCACCTGTAGTCCCAGGTACTCGGGAGGCTGAGGCAGGAGAATTGCTTGAACCTGGGGGGCGGAGTTTGCAGTGAGCCAAGATCATGCCACTGCACTCCAGCCTGGTGACAGAGTGAGGCTCTATCTTAAAAAGGAAAAGAGGAGAGAGAGAGAGAGAAAGAGAGAGAGAAGAATAGGAAATCAACAGTTCAAGTTACAAACTCATTAGCTTGTCTGAGTACTCAAATAGAATAGTTGACAATAAGACATTCCTATTTGTGGGAGCAAAATCAACTGGATTCATCTGAACCCCTTAGATCCTTGGGTATATACACGCTAAGAAAGGTATTTGTTACCTGATCTGCGCTCTCAATTTTTCTCAAGCTATATTATGTAACAAAAGAGAAATCTAGCTAGTCAGCTTCCACTTCCAGCTCCCTCCAGTGGCTCAGAGGAGACAAGCCAGCCACATGAGAGCACTTGAAGCGACTCCTGGGACAGCCAAATCTCAGTCCCGCAATGACAGCACCATCATTCGCTAACCCCCTGTGCTCGGGCTGCACTCGTCCCACCAGCATTGTTACTGGCCCTCCGTTTATGAGGCTGACAGCTTGAGAGATGACTAATTTGTGAATCTACAGTGAGGCCAGCTCAGAAATTAATCTTGGTTCATTGAAACTTAAGCAAAAGTGGTTTGATTGGCAAATGGGTCTTTGTCGAATTATTTTAAAGGATCTTTTGGCCAAATGTAATGAGTTCTAAATAGAAGGTGTGGAATCTGTTCCTTAGGGTCAGTAGATGATTAGGAGATTCAAAGGTGGGAGGGTGCTTTTTGTTTTCTGGGTTCAGTGCTGGTTTCTCTTTCTTCAACCCAAGGTTTCTCATCTAAATTTTTTTTCTGTTACAGGACCTCCTGGACCACCAGGTAAGAGCCTATGGACTTTTCTAGTTCAAGGGGCAGCTGTGGGTGGCCAGAGCCCTAGGATCTCTCTGCCAGGACAGATGTGGGGAGGGTGAGAGCCTGAGACAGTCCTGGCTGTGTGTCTCCTTCTTGGCGCCCCTTACCTGAGGTTCTGCCATCACCATCCCCTTCTTGGCACTGCTTCAGCCAGAGAAGGAAGGGAAGAAGTGGGAGAGGATGTGGAAAAGGCATTGATGCCCGCTGTTTCACTGGTAGAGGAAATCACAGTAGCTTCAATGAAGATTTTTTTTTTAATGTCCCTGTTTCCGTGCTTTGATGCAGGACCTCCAGGAGCTGGCGGGTTGCCAGGACACAATGGATCAGATGGACAGCCTGGTCTTCAAGGCCCAAAAGGAGAAAAAGGAGCAAATGGAAAAAGAGGAAAAATGGGTATTGTGGGCAACTGTTCTAATTAATTTTCCTGTTGTTTACCTCCATGATTGCATTTTTGGATGACTAAAGCTGTGTGCAGCAGAGGTAAGGTGTTTCACCTCTGCACAAAAGGCCAGTTTAACTCTTACCTAGAAGCCATTGTGTTCTGGGACACCAAGGGTATACTTCTTGGTCCCATCTTGGCAAACGTTTATTTCAGACTGGAGAAGCCGTCTCCTGGGAACTGACTCCCACCCTTCTGCTGCAGATGGGAGGTGGAGGGAGCAGGAGCCCACAGCCCTGGGAGGGACGCTCCGTGGTCCCTGTGACAGCTGGTGCTGGTGCATTCTCTTTCGAGGCTCAGCTCTTGCCTTGCCTTCTATTGCCTCCTCCTGCCCAGCAAATCTGTGTTTGGTTGAAAATCAGTGGACTGATGTTGGCCCCTGGTAAGGCTTTTCTTTGCTAGAGGAATAGCTCAAACTGCTTGAGTAGAAAGGCAGCATCTCAGCCCCTCTGAGGCCAGCACTCAGGTCACGGGGTCCCCTCTTCAGGGTCTACAGGATAACTACAAAGACATGGCTGGCATCTCAGGCGAGATTCCTTTGCCCTGTTAAGCGCAGGGCCGTGCCACCACTGGAGCAAAGGCCCAGAAGCACCAAGGTGTCAGATGTGCCCATGGAAAAGTGAGAAGCAGGGGCTGGTGCAGGGCCTGGCAGGAGGCCGGAGCACAGAAGGGGAAGATTCTGAAGGGCTCTGAGCACCAGTCCCAGGGAGCCAGGGCCTAGGCAGGTTTACCTGAAGAAAGCTGGCACATGCCATGGTGGGGCTCAAAGACAGGGGGTGAGAAACTACTCAGGAGACTCCCACAAAGGCCTGGCTCTCAGCCACCTATCGAGGCCACTGTTGACGGCAGAGAGAGGTTGTTTTCAGCCAGAGACTCCACTGCACTGTCTCGTTTTCAACCTTTTGGCTCTGCTACCCGAAATCACTCGGACTGGCCCTAGACTAGAAGAAATGGTAGAAAATTCTTCCAGACAGCATTACTCCTTGGGTGACCTCCACCCTTATTCTCATTAGCAATTGAAGTAAGGGTCCGTGGAGAGGGAAAAATTGTTGAGCACCTCTGCCACTTGGCAGTGCCTACCTGCTTATGTTCCAGAGGGTAGCTTCAGAGAAAATGGGCACACACCGTCCAAGCCAGCTCAGTCCTCAGAAGGCCAGCAATTACCATTGGAATTACAGAGTAGCAGTGGATTGTTCATATAGGATAATGATTATAATTATACACGACCATTGCTGTAGAATAATCATGACGATTGGCTTATCCTGGGAAGACTCCAAAAATGTGATTCAGTCCTGAGGCCTCAGCAATGGGCATGATGAGGGCAGGCTCAGGGGCAGGAGGGCATGTAGGAAAGGGATGGTTTTCAAAAAGACTTGAGACAGATCCTGGCCTTGAGGATGCGCTTAGCATGCACCCCGCAACCCAGGGAGTGCAGAAAAGAAAAACTGTGTTCGCTTATGGAGCACATATTTATTTGGCAGGTACCATTCTAGATGCCAGAGACGCAGATATAAGCCACCCCCACCCCCCCACCTCCAGGAGGCTTACATTCTAGTTGGGAGAGATGAATAGTAAATAAGATAAATAAACAGAATATATGGCCTGTTCCATGGTGAGAAATGCTCAGGAGAAAAAATACCATAGAAAGGGGTAGGAAGTTTATGTGGAGTTGGAGGTGGTACATTTAGATTGAGAGGCCAAGTAAGACCTTCCTGAGCAGGGAACTTCGAGCCAATACCTGGAGGAGGTAAGAGAGGGTCTCAGGGTTTCGGGACAGAGGGCTCTGGGCCGAGCGTATAAGTCACCAGGACACCTACAGAAAGGCTGAGTGGTTAGCCTAGTCTAGTTGAGATCAGAGAGGTAACTAGGCCAAATCAGGTTGGCCTTGGGCATTTTAAGGACTGTGGTTTGTACTCAGAGGAAAACGGGGAGGCTGTGAAGCGGAGCAGTGCTGTGCCTGACGTATGGGTGAGAGGACGGCCCAGCAGCTGTGCTGAGAGGACGCAGGAGGGAAGGGCAGAGGCTGGAACAGAGGACAGCAGCAGAGGAGGGAGAAGGTGTTGGATTCTGTTTGTCACTAGAGGGTGACCCCAATCCTTGGTTTCTGGGAGGTCCCATAGGAAGTGCAGCAACGACACAGACCCTTCTCTGCAGCAGACTCCCAGAGAGTAAGGCCTCTAGGGGTCGGCAGCGTTAACTGAGAAGCCTCCACTCATACTAAGGGTAAAAGTTGAGTGTCCGAGGCCCCCACAGGGAGTCCTTGTCCCAGGCCAGGGGAAGTGGGAGACTAGCCACCAAAGGTTATCTGAAGAGCCCAGTTCTACGGGATCGCTCAGTCATGGTCCAGCTCAGGCTGCAGACAAAGAGCCACACTGTCCTGTCACCCTGCCAAAGCCCTGAGGATGCACTTTCCCTCCTCCACCCACTCCTGAGCCCTGGGACAGATTCCCTTTCTACCCTTCTCTTGCTAAGAACGGATAGGGAGGAGGGACCAGAGGCAGCAGGGCCACTGAGGGAAACCAGGCTTCCTCCTGAGGGCCACGAGAAGCCCCAGAGAACTGTCAAATGGGAGAGAATGATGGAATCAGATCTGCCTCTCTAAATGCCACTGTGGCTGCTGCGTGCAGAGCACACTGGAACGGGCAGGTGAGGGAGCCAGGGTGGAGGCAGGGAGACGGCCTCCGTAGGCGGAGGACAGCGGGCAGGGGCGGAAAGACCCACAGGGGTAAGTGATATTTAGGAGTAAAGCCAGCAGTTCCCGGTGGATGGTGGATATGGGAGTTAGGGGGTCAGGGAGGCATCAAGAGTGACTCTGAGGTTGCCATCCTGCTTTACTGAATGGTTGAATGAGCTGCTCCTGCCTGAACTGGGGAGTCCCGCACTCAACTCAGATCTAAAGGGACAATCGTGGACTGCGTGCGATGTGCTGAGTTTGAGATGCCCTGAGGTATCCAGGAGGAGGTGGGGAGGTGGCCTTGGAAAACAGGTCTGCAGTTGGAGGAGGCCTGGGGAGAGAGGTGTATACTAGGGCATCTTTGAGGCATCTGGGCATGTGAGCAGGGGTGAGGTCACTTAGGGAGAGAGCCTGTCAGGAGAGGAGACACTGGGCTTCAGCCCTGAGAAGCTCCAACCTCAAGTGACCAAGCAGAAGGGGATGAGTTGGCAAAGGACACTGAGGTGGGGACTGAGCAGTGAGAGGAGCACCAGGAGAGGGTGGGGACATTCATCGATAAATAGTTATCAGCAGACAACAGTCACATCCACCTACCACCCCAACATGAGATGTGTGTTTGAAGCGAAGAACAAGGTGCTCCACCTACCACCTCAACATGAGATGTGTGTTTGAAGCGAAGAACAAGGTTCTCCAAGGTACCGTGATGGAGAGGGAGGGTAGGGAGGTAACAGCTTGGCCAGACGTGAAGGGAGGCCCAGCACACACAGAAGGGCAGGACCACACAGCCAGGTGAGGTTGGAGGCTGGTGCCAGGCCCTTTCAGAGCTTTTGGATAAGCAGCCAGCTCCCAGGATGGCACTGCAGGTCCTCACATGGGTATGCAACCTGCCAGGCCAATGCTGTGAGTGTGGAGAAGGAAGGGCCATCATTTAAACTGAGAGTTAAACAATCATTCATGGTTTGCTGGCAGGGATGGGGCAGGGGAGGTGTGGGAGTACATTCCACAAAGAGGGAACAAGTGTTATTTCCAAGAAAAGGAAAAAGGGCCTGTGTTCCACAGTGTTAGGGACCCAGTTAGGGTGGGATGTGCCCCCTAGCAACAAAGTTTGGAACCATAATACACAGCCAGCATTTACTGCCAGACACTCCACTAAGGCCTCGGTACACGCAGCTCATGTAGTCCTCAAAACAACCCAAGGGCACAAATGCTTTTGTTAGCCATGCTCTTTCCAGATGAAGATACTTCTCTCCTCCTCAAACAGGCCAAGCCTCCCTTGCCCCAGGGCCTTTGCACACAAACCACTAGGGACCCAGAGTAGATTGGGGTGGGACTAGGGCACAGTGAGCTGTGCCCACTGCCTGATGCCCTCTCCCTGCCTTCCCCTGTCTTCCCAGGCTGCAGGTCTTAGCTCAGATGTCACCTTGTACATGAGATCATCCCTGGCCACTGTGCCTGGCCTGTCTCACCTACTCTGTCATCCCCTGCTGTTTTGAAATATCGATCCCTCCCTGAAATCACCCCGTGGTGACTATTTGCTGTTGCCCTGATGGACTGGCTCCCCAAGTGGAATGTGAGACCTGTGAGAGTCAGGGCGTGTCTGTCTTGCTTAGTTTCTACCTTCGGTGCCTGGAACACTCTGTCAAGAAGCTCAATAAATTCGTGGTTGAATGATAGGATATAAATTGTCTAATGTCAAAAGCTAATAAGTGGAGGAGGCAGGACTTGAATCTAGGTTTCTCTGACTTCTGGACCCCCGCTCTTAACCACAGTGACTCGTCAGTTTCCATACTTGAGGGGCTTGAGCCCTGTTGTGAGAGCAGGGTTACTGGAAGTGCCGAAGAGCAGGAGCATATAGGAAGGAAGCCTGGGCCCTGGGCGCTGGTGTAGTTAATGATTGAGAATACAGGGCTTCAGACACCCTCCAACCTGAGCTCCAAGGCTGAGTCTTCCTGGCGCGGGTGGGGGGGGGGGGGGGGGGGGTTGGGAGGGTTCCAGCCTTTCAAAAAGGCCTGCAGGATATTGTTGAGAACATGCAGTTCAATGAGTAATAACCTGCCAGTCAGAGACAGTTGATTTTGTCCCTCTTGTTCCCTGCCTTCAAGGCAGAAGGGAACGGTGGAAAGAGTTCTAGGAGCTCTTGCCTTGATCCCTTACTGGCCCTCAGGCCCTGGGCAAGTCACTCCAAGATGAGGCCTTGACTGCCTCATGTGTAGCCAGAAGAGGTTGGGTTATAACAACTCTAATATGGTTTCTGGTTTTAAATACTCTACTATAGTGTTA